GAGTGAGTGTGTGAGTGAGAGTGAGTGTGAGTGTGAGAATGAGAGTGGGAGTGAGGGTGTGAGTGAGAGTGAGAGTGAGTGTGAGTGAGAGTGGGAGAGTGGGCGAGAGTGAGAGTGGGAGTGAGAGTGAGTGTGAGTGTGAGAATGAGATTGGGAGTGAGAGTGTGAGTCAGAGTGAGAGTGAGTGTGAGTGAGTGTGGGTGAGAGTGAGAGTGAGTGTGAGAGTGGGAGAGTGAGTGAGAGTGAGAGTGTGTGAGTGTGAGCGTGTGTGAGTGTGAGTGAGGGTGAGGGTGAGAGTGAGAGTGAGAGTGAGAGTGAGAGAGTGAGCATCTGAGAGCACAAAGTGCTGCGCCTACGCCGAAATCTGCACTTTGATGCGCTTCGAGGTTCACCAAATGCTGCGCCTGCCACGAAATCTCCACTTCGAGGTTCACCATGTGCTGTGCTGCTGTGCCTGCCACGAAATCTGCGCTTCGAGGTTCACCAAATGCTGTATGCACTTCGAGGTTCACCAAGTGCTGTGCCTGCCACGAAATCTGCACTCACAAAGTGCGGCGCCTGCCACGAAATCTGCACTTCGAGGTTCACAAAGTCTCCACTCCGAGGTTCACCAAGTGCTGTACCTGCCACGAAATCTGCACTTCGAGAATCACAAAGTCTGCACTCCGAGGTTCACCAAGTGCTGCGCCTGCCACGAAAACTGCATTTCGAACTAATACACCTCCGATCCCTTGCACCTGTCACGAAAAGTCGACTTTGGAGCACGAGGTTTCCCTTGCGCCTGCCACGAAAAGTGACCACCATGTACGAAAATGCGCACAGCGCCACAACGAGAGCGCAGTCGCTAGAAGCACCAAGATTTTGCGAGCCTGCGCAGTCGACATGCACTTCGAGGAGTTCAAGAGTCATGAATGTGCTGTAAATAGCAGCGAATTAGCCGGTCACGGCTGCGCGCTTCAGCGATCTAAGCATCAGCTGCCTTTCCCTCACCGTAAGAACCCCTATAGTGTGTCCACACTGCTTGGGGAAAAAACAACCAATTACTTTACTTCGAGTGATCCCCACCATGACATTTCGATCATTTGTCTTGATGCCATGGTGAGGAGCATGTTGCCATGGTCGTGAGTATTGTAGTTCTCGATTTTGTTTGTGGTCCTCGGGTTGTGTGCTGTGGTTGTGTGTTGTGCTTGTGGTTGTGTGTTTGTGGTTGTGTGTGTGTGTGTTTGTGATTGTGTGTTTGTGATTCGTGATTGTGTTTCGTGTTTGTGGTTGTGTGTTTGTGGTTATGTGTTCGTGGTTGTGTTTGTGGTTGTGTGTTTGTGGTTGTGTGTTTGTAGTTGTGTGTGTGTGATTGTGTCTGTGGTTGTGTGTGTGTGTGATTGTGTTTGTGGTTGTGTGTTTGTGATTGTGTGTGTGGTTGTGTGCTTGTGATTGTGTGTGTGATTGTGTGTTTGTAGTTGTGGTTGTGGTTGTGTGTTTGTAGTTGTGGTTGTGGTTGTGGTTGTGGTTGTGGTTGTGGTTGTGGTTGTGGTTGTGTGTGGTTGTGTTTGTGGTTGTGTGTTTGTGGTTGTGTGTTTGTGGTTGTGTTTGTGGTTGTGTGCTGTGGTCGAGGTCCGGCAGGGAACACTGGGCGTGGAAGGTCGTGGTTGAGGTCCGGCTGGGAAGACTGGGCGCGGATGGTCGTGGTTGAGGTCCGGCAGGAACACTGGGCGTGGAAGGTCTTGGTTGAGGTCCGGCAGGGAACACTGGGCGTGGATGGTCGTGGTTGAGGTCCGGCTGGGAACACTGGGCGTGGAAGGTCGTGGTTGAGGTCCGGCAGGGAACACTGGGCGTGGATGGTCGTGGTTGAGGTCCGGCAGGGAACACTGGGCGTGGATGGTCGTGGTTGAGGTCCGGCAGGGAACACTGGGCATGGATGGTCGTGGTTGAGGTCCGGCGAGGAGGAGAAGGAGGAGGAGGAGGAGAAGGAGAAGTCAGCTAACATAAAATCTAACAACCCTCACCTGACAGGTGGGGAACAAAAAAGAAATATATATATATATGAGAAAAGACACCAAAAGCACCAGTCCAGTCAAATCTTGCTCGGCTTAACTGATGAACTTGCTTTCACCAAGGTTGGGAAAAACCACTGGGTTTGAAACTAGATTGGATTCCAACCAGATTTTTTGGCCCCCAGGCACATTCGCTCGTGGCGATGCGAATGCGTATGCAGACGGTGCGACTGGACCGGCGACCGGCACCGGTTCAGCAGGGGACACGCCTTGATGGCCTGTGTCAGTAAAAGGTGACAGCCTCGGAATTCCACATGATTCCAACAAAAAAGCAAGGCCAAGGACGGGAGAGTGGATAAAAGTGTCCAGAATGGCCAGAATGACTGCCATCTAGTTTTTCATCTCGACATGCCAGAAAATTCCAGAGAAACTTGCACATCACCCCCTGCCTTCTCGAAAGAACAGCACTGTATTTCATTTCTTATCTTGGTATTTCCAAAGATGCATTCAGCACGAGCCATGATGTTCCGACCAATCGTGGGATGCCTCACGGTACTCTCGGCTCACTAGGCATCGGGCGATCCTTCTTGAAGGCAAAGTCGCGGAGGCCCACAAAGGTGGGTGCCATCTGCGTGGGTCTTTTCGTCTTTTTCGACCAAAAAGGTACATATATAGATCAGGTGGATGATGGGGACCCTGAACCAGACTTCCTTAGAACTTGGTAGAAAACTCGGGAGAAAGGACTAAGCAAAGATCAAATACCAGGGCCCCCTAAGGGGTGTCCAATTATAGCTCCTTAGAGGTTAAGGGGTGTCCATTAACCACCCCAAACAGGCGGGCCCTGGTAGACATTGTTACACCCACTGTCAATCAACTTGGCATGCCCTGCCGTTCGTTCCCTCGTTCCACCCCCTCCGTTCACTCCGCCCCCGCCTGATGTGTCACCACCAAGGTGCGCCCTTCCACGCCATATCCCAGGATGGTGTGCAGGACCTGTGGCCCAGCTGAGCCAAACCCCAAGCACCAGTGGGTGGCGGTGGTCGGGGCGCTCGGTCGTCGCGGGTCAGTCCGGTCCGCCGGGTCAGGGGGCCGATGGAGACCGGAGCACGGCGGAGAAAACACGGAAGACTTCAATTCGGATGACGGACAGACTGACCAGCACCTCATTGTCCACACTTAGCTCACGCCAGAGTGCTGCAACCTGAGTGCTGGAACGGACGCTGGAAAGAGAACCGGACGCTGGTCTTCATGGGTCTTCCCATTTTAATGTATGCCCATATGGGTATGAGATGGTATGAGTATGAAGCAAGGCTGGGTATGTCAACAGCTGCTGCAACTGAAACATTCTTGGCTGATCCTCATTTCTTGACGCTGATCATTTCTTGAGCCCGAGTCAGTCACATGACAATGAGCTATACCAGGGGTGGACATCCAACCCCAAGCATGAAAAGACAATCCCGTTGAAAATTCACTACCACCAGTTGCTCACATGTCCATCAAATTTCGCTGCTGTGGCAGTGTGCTGGTGTTTTCCAGGTCATTCATTTCTCTGGGACCGTGACGCATTCATAGCGTTCACGGAGTCGTCTCCGTTCCAACTCGGTGTCCAAACGTACCTGGCAACGGTACCGACCGCACACCGCTAAAAACTCCGTGTTGTCCCTAGTTGGTCCAGCCTGGTCATCCTCCTACGAAATCTGTCGCTTGCCGGTCAGATCTTCACATCCACAGCCCAACATCGGGCGCCACGAAAAGACTTGTCAAGCATCGAATGGCCCGTCTGCGGTCCACAAGAGGAAAGCCATGTTCGTTTGGGCATCCATCGTCCGGGGAATCCTTTGATAAGTGATGAGAAGTGTAGAGCAAAGTATTGCAGTATTATTTGAAACAACTCCACTGAAACAAAAGAGCTCAATCAAGCACTCATGAGATACATGTCGTGAGGTACATGTCATGAGACTCCAGAGTCTCTCGCCTGAGTTGGCATTGGCAGCGACTCCTGCATCAAAAAGTGGAACTCTGAAAATGGGCACTTTCGGGGGTCGCTGCCAATCATGGATTCTCCCCAGCGAATTCAAGCTTCATTCAGTTGTGCCTCTTCTACCGAAAGAGGCCCCCTCACTTGATTGCGCAAAGAGTGAGACAAAGACAGACCTTTTGGACGAGTGATTTGCTTTTTATATAAGTCAAAAGCCTCCATTGTCAGGCTACTTTCACTGTCTTCACTGTCTGCCAAAACCCTTCAGTGGGCCACTCTCGTCGACCAGAGCGGAGGGAGGCCTCCTCATTTCTTTGGGCGCGAGCCCAAGCCCACCATTGTCGATGCTCCTCGCACCGTTCGATGTTCCATCGCGTCGCGTGGTGTCATGAGTGAGATCAAGAAGGACTCGAAGGACTCAGAGTGATAGTGGCACGGTTTCCAAACCACTTTTCCAGTGGTGATCTACTTTTCTATCTATGACAGGGGGTCTATGTATGCACGGAGGATTCTTCGAGTTCGGCACGCGGATCTTCCACACCCCTGACGGGCCTGTTGTCAGGGCCGGACCAATGTGTGAGAAAACACCACACTAGATCGAATTCATTGAATCAGGGCACCACGAACATCAGACCCACTGGATGATCTTGGATGAAAAGAACATGACCCAGTTACTTGTGGGCTCAGATCAGGATGACTCATGCTAGCGATGGTTCAAGCATGTTCCAAAAAATGAAAACACATACACATTGCGCTGGCACAGATCTGATTTCTCTCAGGTCGCCACAATGCATCTCGAAGCTTCAGTGTCAAGATCCACTTCCATCCACACCTGGTGCAAAGCGGGTCGATCATGGGTCGGACCCTGAACGGAGCGATCCGACGCTGCGTTCCGTTCGCGATCCGAGCATCCTCTTCAGGGTCGATCAGGGTCGGGCTTGATGTGTGGAACAAGAAACGTGCACCCGACTCACCGGAACCCACAAAAAGCGCCTCTTTCACACCCTGCAGCTCCCTTCTCCGTCTCCGCCCCTCTTTTCCGCCGTTTGGGTTTGGCGCAGCTCAGCTCCGACAAAGCTCAGTGGCCTCCCCACACACCAGGGGCGTTTTGCTTCCAAGGTCCCCGGCGCAAGGTGATGGTGGCTTCTTCACTTCGGGTATTTCATCCACCTGTTGCGGGTCGCGACCCGACGTCGGGTCGCTCAACGCCGGGTCGACGCAAACGCTCCGTTTCGGAGCGATCTCCAGGAGCCCCCCCCCCCTATTGGACCGTCCCGGTTTGGGGGGGCGGAGACCTTCGAAACGGCGCCATGCGAGTGAGCAACTTGATCCGAGTCTGCCCGAGATCGCTGCGAGCGACCCGCACAAATGTGCGGTCAACGATCCTCCTGCTTGGGGAAGCAGCTGGGTGGCCAAACTTCAAAGGAGCAAACCTTCCAAGTCTGGTCAAGTCAAAGTTCTTACAGTAACCGTAAACCTAAAACCATCTCCAAGCCACTAATTTCATGGTCTCTAGTTGAATTCATCGAGTTTATCCTACAAGTAAGTAGCGCTTTGAGCTCACGTTCCAGCCCCCGACTCGGGGCTTTGCACGGCCTGCAATTCGAAAGCCAGCTTTTTCGTGTCCACCTGGGCCGAAAGGAGGGGGGCTAATTGTTGGGTCTGTGGTACTATCCAAAATGGGTTAGTTATGGTCAGTTAGTTGTTTGTTGAGTTTCTCGACATGGGTTATGGTTATGGAGAGTCCTGGAGGTTCAATGATGAATTGCACCCAGTTCATCCACTCAGTCCCAAACGAAGGGGTCATGTGAGGGCCGCAAGGGGGTCGCTTGACCCACAAGCACATCAGAAACGAATTCCATCTTGCCCCTCTCTGCAGTTCTGCCAATCGCTTCGAAACACTTTTCCCAGTTCAGACTCACCCCCCTTTCTCCCTTCATATACAACATATATACAGTACCTATTATTCGGATCCTATTGGTATGTATACTCCACGACAGTGCTGCACTTGGCTTCCAGGATTTTGAAACACTTGCCTTCTCCGGTCCAATGCACTTAAAAAATTTGCGTCTGACCCTTTGATGATGGCACAAATCGGCAAGCAAAAGATTTGTGATGCCGAGAGTGCGTCACTTTGGAAGCGAATTCACGGAATATGTCCGAAAGCCTCTGGCTCCAAGTGGCCACCATCAGTTGGTGTAGGGGCAAACAAAAAAAGTTCGATGAGCCATGACTAAAGACTTGACAATATCCCAAATTCATCAATCATGAATCAGGGAGCCTTTGAAAGGAGCATATCACGAAATCTCTCGGTGGTGGAGAAGATTCGTTCAGTGCTGGAGGCTCCATGCGACGAGGCAGCTTTACCCAACACACTGATCAGGCTATGAAGACTTTGCCGCGCCAAGGTCTTCTTCAACTTGCGCACGTCCCGTTGAGGAATGAAGGATAAGTCAGCACCGGCCGCTTCCTGATGGTTTTCGCAAACACTGGCCCAAGATTGACAAGGTCAAAGACTCCCGAAACACTAAAGCTTCTAAAGACCCAGACACCGTGCCAAGCAAGTGTGAAAGAAAGATCTGCAAAGGAACACCAACTGTTGGGAACACCCTGATCGCAATCGTGACAGAACAATTTGCTCTCTACTAGGAGCAAGGACCCTACTAGAGTTACTAGAGGCTCCTGGCCTTACTACTAGGAGCAAGGACGCTACTAGGGGGTCTCCTGGCCGTACTACTAGGAGCAAGGACGCTACTGGTATTGTCGCTTTGACGCCCTCGGGACTGCTTCGCCCAAATAACGCTCGGGACTCGGGACACGAATCATCGCGAATCCGACGCGTGAACGGCGAGTGTTTTTCAGACAGCAGACCAGCCCAGTCGATCCCAGCTAGCCACCATACAAGGAACCAGGGTTTCAAGAGGTCCGTTATGGCTTTTTGGAACCACTATACAGTTAGTGGTTTGCCTGGATCCACTGCTGAAACCGACGTTTCTTTTTCCGACCCCAACAGTGCATCCGCTTTCGGACCCCGAAAGCGGATGTGTTGGTTTGGGGAGGGTGTTGGGGGATTCTTTGGGTGGTTTAATTTGCAAGGGACGTATGTCAAATCAAGAGTGAAAGCCCAGGCTCTGTTCGAACTAACTCGATCAGCTCTTGTCCACTTTTCTCCGCACTGGTTGCGGAGACCTTTTGCTCGACAAGGTGGAAGATGAGGGCAGAGCATTCCCTGATGCTGAGATTTTGCATGATGCCCCGTTGCTTCTTGTCGAGCTTGGCCTCCCTATCATTGTGCTCCAGGTGGCAAAAGTTGCACTCCATGCCATTGGCACAACTGCCCCTAGCAAAATGCAGGCAGGGACGACGGCACAGCTCTGGATGTCCACCACTTCCAAGGTTTAAAACCTTTGGACCTCTCGACACTTGGTCTTCGCCACAGATGGACACCTGGTCTTCCTCTTCGCCGCCAGCTCCACCAGCGGCTCGTCCCCTTCCGACGGAGGCACCGGAGCCGGGCAAGGGCTCCACCACGGCTCCCGTGCATCGATCCGGAGCTTCCAGAGATGTCAGAGCTTCCACCTTCTGTGAAAGGTCATTCACATAGATCCGGTGTTCCTCTTCCTCCGGGCACTCGAACCACTCTTGCGGTGTTCGCATGGGTGGATGGCTCCGTGCCCGGAGCTTGGAGCCTCGCACGCCATCCGTCGAGCGGGGTGTCCCACTGACCTCCTCCACATCGATGAAGCTGTTGTGGTATCGGAGCTCCCAGTGTGCCATGGTGCACTTAGGCCTGCAACCAAGGATGTCCGCTGGCTGCACCCAGACTAACACCCTGGTTTGAGTCAAAAAGTTCTGCACTCATCAACAAAAGATCCATTACTTCGCATAATGATGGTCGGTGCAAAAACACATTCAGAGCATCAAAAAGCCTTTCACAGCTTTACTCTCATGGGTCTGAGCCATCGAACTGTGCTTGCGCTGGACTCATCACCTAGCAACGCTTGCGGAGAGACTGTGCTTGCGGAAGATGGGCGAAGCGAGCTGCGCATCCGAATCTGCAGAATTCCAAACGGCACCCCCCGGGCTTCCACACTGGAGCCGGACCGACGCCTTGGGGAAGTGGCACGTGACTCGGCCTTGGACGGGGCGTGACCGGCGTGACCGATCCTCAAACTTGGTCCCGAGCTGCGCCATGTGGGGTTTTGGAGTGGCCACTCTATGTGTTGCAACCCGGCGCGAGCTCGGGAGTGGCCACTCCGAGCTCGGCATCTGTGTTGCTCTGTTTGGGTTCCAACTGTAGTTCCCAAGAGCAAAAGAAATCAAATGCATTCTCATGGATCGAGCTTTTTGGATTTGTGGTTTGGTGGATCGAGCCCTTCTCTTTGGTCCAGGGCAGTGAATCCTGTCCAATTCAGTGAATCCTTGAGAGGTAAAGCCCCGTTCGTGGTCTGGCTATGGTTCTAGGGTAGCAGAAGGACTTCAACTCACTGGTGACAAAACACAAAAGTCCAACACCTATATTGTGGCAAAGTAGATGGTTGATAAATTATAACATAAGGCATAAGACATCCCTACCAGCCGACCACGGTATACTCGCTTTACCTCTCCGCCTTTCTCGCTTTTTTATTGGAGCCTGTCCACTGGCCATCTTCAGGCCGTGGCGGTCCTTCACCCGGACTGGAACGCGGATAGCGCTCTTAGAATATATCACGTCTACCACGTTTTGCTGGGTCTTCTTCTTTGAGCTCGTTCGCCAGCTGAAAACTGACCACCCGCTCAGCTCTTTCACCGAGCAGCGGGGGACGGCAGCGGTGAGGACGCCTAATTCAACTTTGCCGTGGGGCACGGGACGGGTTTCCCCGAGCAAGACGGGTGAACGAATCTCCACCTGGTTCAGTGTTTCGTGGGGAAACCAAAACCAATCCATCTCGACATGGGAGAGAGCTGCTATTCGGTGTGCTTTCCTCCACTGAGAGGTTGGTCGGTGTGCAAAACGTGTGCGAATCGTGTTCCAAACAGGGCACATGATGGGCCTCCAAAGAGCTTGGGGGTGCGAATCCACCACGGACAGCACCCGCTCACCCGGTGTCATCTGCGAAGTATCTCAGTAATTCACTCCAAACTTTTTCCACAATCCATGTACATGTCAACAGTCCAACCTCCATGCATGGCCTTCCCAACGTCCAACGTCCAACGTCCATCGGACCCGTGACCGATCGCCCCCGTCGTCCCAACGGATCGATGCCTCGGACCACACGGAGCTGCAAAACCTCCGTCCGGAGAACACGAGGCGAGGCGAGGCCGTGTGCAACAAGTGGTTTGGGCTCCCCTGTCCTGTGGCGTGACCCAATGACCCAAGGGGGGTTTGATGAGGTACAGAGGTTGAGGTTGAAATCCAGTGTCCGAAAATCCATTGGACTTCCACTGCTGAGCAGTGCTTCTCCTCCGTCAAGTGCTCAAAGTGAAATCATGTTTGCTCTCATGCCTCCTCAATATTGCTTGCGAAACTGCCCATGTTCTCGAACCACGGACGTGTGCACGTACTCTAAGCCCAGGGCGAGCCAGGATCCATGGTAGGTGAGGCCACGATCTTCTTTTGAGCTCCAATCTCCCTGAGTAGAAGACATGTGGTTTGCTTCGTGGACCATGCAAAGGGTCTCGGGCATGGAAGCCCAGTCTAGTAGTGTAGCCATTGTGACCCCAAACGGAGGAGTCAGTTCTCAAAATAGAAGAAAAGCACTTGACTTAAACCAGGATGCAATGGGTCATATATAGTACTATAGTACGCATTGCATATACTATAGTACAATAGGTCATAACTATATATAGATAAGTAACCATAAATATATATATATATAGTTATGTCATGTCAGACCGGGTCTCAAGGAACGAAATGGACAACGGTGTCCGAGGCTGTGACGGCTTCAGAAAAGCCCGCCTGCCCACGCGGTCCGGAGAGGACGGGGAACACAAATTGAAAGGATCTTCTTTATTGGGGCGGTAGAGTTCAGGGGGAACCACAACCACGCGGTTTGTCATTCGATTCACGCAAGTCCACCTGCAGAATCCCTTCGCTTCTTTGACCAAAGATTTGCCCAAAGGGCAAAAAATCATCTACTGTACTCTACTGTACCTGTATTTGCTGCATTCTTGGATTGAAGCCCCTGAAAAGTGTGCACAACAGAGATGTGAGCCACAGCCCACCCCACATCCACAACTACCGCAATCATGTATCATGATCTGGCACATGCCATGATTAGGAACAAGAAGCTACTAGGGGCTCCTGGCCTTACTGGAAGCAAGGACGCTACTAAGGGCTCCTGGCATCGCTACTAGGAGCATTCTTACTACTAGTAACAAGAAGCTACTATGAACAAGTGCATCGCTTCTAGTAACAAGTGCCTTACTACTAGTAACAAGAAACTACTAGGAACAAGTGCATCGCTTCTAGTAACAAGTGCCTTACTACTAGTAACAAGAAGCTACTGGAAACAACTGCATCGTTTCTAGTAACAAGTGCCTTACTACTAGTAACAAGAAGCTACTAGGAACAAGAGCTCTTCAGGTGTTCCGTTCCACCCCGCCGACCGACTGAGGTTTCCGGCTGTGCGTGGAGCTTGGCCGGTCGCACCTCTTCGAAGAACGACGATGTCGGCCCAGCGGGATGCCACAGGAACTCCGGTGGAAAAGAATGGGGAAGTCTAAAAGGATTTCTTTGGGGGGGTCATGTGAGGTCATTTTTTGCTGGTTCAAGTGTCAATTTCTTAAATCATATGTATATTTGTCTTTTCCCGTATCTATTTTTCTATGTGCATACATATTACATATGGTGGTTGATTCTTTCATCCTGGAATGGCCATTCATCGCGGAAAAAAAGATATCTTTCGCGGATCTTTCGCGGCCTCATCGCGAAGCATGGTCCTACAACCATGTCTAGCCAACATGAGCCGGAACATGTCATAGTATCACAAAATAGGTAGAGACATCTTGCAGCATGACCCCAGTAGATGGTTGAACGTTTCCACAGCTACTCAGGGTCACTTGCAGCATCTGTTCGACAATTGTGCCAAATAGAGTCAGGCACAACTCAACCCAATCCTCGCGCCAGCTACCAACACAGGGTGATACAGCTTGGGGAATGTTGGGGGGCCTCAAGCTGGGAACCTAGACTTTAGCTGCACATTCGCGAAACTTTCGCGGATCTTTCGCGAAATTTCACTGGCGTGTTCCCCGGGAAGCCGTAACATTTGCAAACATCTGCGCAGCCCGTCAGAGCAGCTGCAGGTCGTTGCCTCACTGTCAGGGCTGTGCCTACCCAGATTGCTAGCCTGTGACAGTGGGGACAGGAATCGGAGAATCCTTTACGCACTGCCAGGGCTCGGCACGGAAATGTTGAGGCTTCAGTTCGTTAGTCTGTGACATATGGGGACACTTCCGCCCACTGGCTCTGCCGGAGGATTGCCTTGCGTTTCTATTCTTTGTCAGTCCGGCAGAAAGGAAAACAATGAAAGCGATGACCTTCGATAAATCTTTCGCGGAAAAAAAAGATACTTTCGCGAACCTCATCGCGAATCTTTCGCGGATGGTTCTAACAACATCTGAAAGGCTGTTTTATATAAAACTCCTTACACGGGGTTTTCGATCAACTCCCATATGAAGTAGAAGCTTTCGGGATTCATTCCGATTGTCCATTCGAGGTGTAAAGCTGTCCATACAAACACGTTTATTTATGATTGTTTATTTACACAACATATGCAATCATATGCGCACAAACCCATTGCAGTCCTTTGAAGTCTGCGTCTGTGAAGTGGAACTGATTGCGCCCCTGTGAATCCACTGGGAAACCCCTGCACCCTGGCCATTCAGAGGTGATTGATGGATGACATAGACCCAAACTGTCGAGAAACATCGTCTTCTCCGCAGGCACTAATGAAGTCCACGACGGTTTTTGGATCGACAGGAAGCGTCGTGTCAGTGTGCGCATGGCATGCTTTCGCAAACACTCCATCTGTGTATATCTGGCTGCGATGCAAAACATCCTCTTGTTCATTCACACCACAGCCAGGTCTTTCATGCCAGGTCTTTCGACCGGAAGAGTGGGTATATGACGTCTGAAGAGTGTTCTCCATCGCCCGGTGCGAACGGCTGGTTGACATTTGCGCCCCTTAAAGCAAAGGACTGCATCAAGAACAACGGGGCAAGCTTTCAACGCGCTCGTTCTCTGGATATATTTGGATCTATCATCTATATCAAGCTTGGCTTTTTCGACTGACACATCCTCACTGACTCATCTACGCCTGCTGGGAAGAGAAGAAGCGACCGACACCGCTACATGACGCTACAATACCCTCCAAAAATGACAATAAACATGATGTTTAAGGTATTTGAAGTCGATTATACACGCATGTAATGTCGGGTCCGGTACTCAGAGGTCTCACATGGTTGGGCGCACACTTGACGGAAGTAGAAGCTCCGAAAAAGGGAAGAACCTTTTAAATTTTCCGAGTCAGTCTATAAAATGCGAGCGCCTCTTCCTGGTCAAAGTTCATCGAACCCAAAAATTATATTACAGCAAAAAACCTTCAAGGCAATACTCACACCATATGCCAAAAATAAGTGTCTGCTTCATACTAGCACTTGACCACGTTGAACCAGATTCTTCTTACATCATGCATTTTGTTCAAAATTTCATGTCTGATGTTTTATCTTTGTTGATTTTGTTTTGTTGTTGTAGGTATGTGGCGAGCGAAACGCCCTTTTCGAAGCGCACTAGTCCATCATTATTGATTGGATTACCACGCACTTGCTCTTGCCCGTCCTCAGTCCAAACTTAGACGAAATGTTCTCCGCCAAGTGCAAGAGTTCGTCAAGAGACTGACCGTCTTGGAGAAGGGAATGGTGTTGCTGGCATAGCACACCAAGTCAAAATTTAAGCCCGGAAACTTATTATTTAGAATTCTGTCTGAAGCGTTTGCCTTGATATCATAGTCAACACAAGCCATTACTGGCAGATATCGATGCTGGGGGTTCCTTGACGAATTCCGGGGCTTTGCTTTTTCGATTGAAACGTTCTAAAGAAATCTCTGACAAAGAAAGCAGGGCAGGCATAGCAGCTGCGAACAACATCGATATAGCGTTTCTCATGTCAACCCCAGTCGCTTGAGCATAAGCACCAACTCGTCATGCTGTATTTTACAGAACGTTTTTCCCAATCTAGAAGCGCCATACTCAGTTTGGCGCCCTTCAAATCTCCATAGCCCTGGGCAGGGATATGGGTCGATAGTTAACGCCGGTATCTAGTTCCCCAACTCCAGCCATCAGTGTCTGTTGGGGCCATCGATGCGAGCAACTCGCGTTGGGGCGAAGGGAGCGCAGTCGCGCCACGTGGAGCGTTGCAGTCGACGCATCTGAGACGCATCTGTTCGTTCCAAAATGGACACCGCTGTGGCTCAGCTCCTGGCACGCGCCACAGGCATATAGAACCACAGTGACCTGCTCAATCCTCGCGCCTCCCCGGTGGTTCATGCGGTGGCGAAACCGACTGCAGAGCCAAATGGTACCAAATCTTCTCGCATGGGGCACAAGGCTGCTTGTACTGATGCCTGGCAATTGCAAAAAGAAGGTTGTTACCAGCGCGCGCAGGGTGCCTCAGGCTTTGGCAAATGGCCACTGCCTTTCAACACTGTTGCAACATCTTTCCGAGAAAGCCCAGAGAAGAGGACGGGGTAACCCAGACCCCTGGCAAGCCACTTCGTTGATGCAAGACAAGCTCGTCAAGGAAATACTTTGCCAAGGCCGCGACCGAAACGTTGCCTCCGGCATAGGCCTGCACGTGGCGACCAGACGCACAGATGCGAAGCGTGGTCGAAGCGGGTGTGGTGACTGAGAGTTGCCCGCGTATATCACACGCGATCAACACCCATGCTTTGCGGGGGGGCCAACGTCGCATTGCCACCCCATGGGGGTCAAGGCCATCATCCTCAAGAGTTGCATGGCAACCAGCTGCCAACAAGACCTGCGCAGAATAAGGGCCAGGCCAGAATAAACAACCAGGCCGAGCCAACAACCAGGCCGATTTCAGGAAAATGCCAAGCGGTTGGCGTGGCCATTACGGACCTGTACAGCCCATAATATACAGCGCGCAGCCGGCCGTGACAAGACAGCTACGAAGGTCTGTACTCGAGCAGGGAAGCTATTCCAATTTTTGCAGAGCACACCAGCAGCCAGCGACATGGCCTATTTCACCACTTGAATCGCTTTTCTGATTGCTTTCCACCTACAAACTGTTGGGGAGGTAGTAATAAATATTTAAAAAGTTTGTTCAATAGTCAAGCTCCCTCTCTTTAGGTGATTGAGTATGCTTTTCAATGGACATCTTCACTCCTCGCAGTCTGCAAGGCTCACGTATGAGCGCATTTGCAGATGGAAACAGAAGGTCCATGATGCACAGGATAATTCTGCCAACCGCCTTATCTTGCACATTTGCGCAACAAGGGTAATAAGTCTGAGCCCCGCAAGTTGTCGATCAAGATGGCCACATTTTGACACATCCACCCGATGTCTTTGCGCACACCAACTCACAATGGGATGATGCCTTTGCGGCCAATGTTGGCCCTGTTCTCGTCTTCTTCCGATTGAAGTGGTCTGGCGGGTCTCAACAGCACGTCAAACAGGAGGTTCATCACTTTCCGAACGCGATTCAATTTCTGGGTAGACCAATCAGTTCTCAAAAACCCCAGAAAAATTGCTTACATACCAAGAAAAAAACATCTTGTTCTGATTTGGGAACCTATTGATGCATGCAGATTTGCACAAATCGATTATTGGTTGGCGAGTGAAGCTTGGAAGGCATGTTTTCGCCGTGATGTACGAAGCCGACGCGGACCATCTGGTCCTGGAGGCGACTTTTTCAATACCTACCTTTCAGGCGTGTGCAGTATAGTGCTGATGTGAAGATGTTTACCAAGCCTGGGGCACCATGGGGGGTGGAGTGGTACAGTATACTTTGTAGAAACGTGCACTTTGGTGCAATCGGCTAATCAACAGCTTGCATCACTATCTGACCATCTGGTCATCATCTGATCCTCATCTGAATGCCCTCACCCAAATGTTCAAATGCTCAAACAAAAGTGTTCTCAAACTGCCAAACCCCCTCCAGAAACTTCTGGAATGTTTGAATTCTCATGCGGTTGCTCAATGGAAAGACATTGCGTCTAGATCACAGCAAGTGCACAGCATCCTGCATGCAGCTGCGGAAGGTCTTCAAACCATACCACAGACCAAACGTAAATCATATATAACCAGGTAACCAGGCATATGTGGGGGATGATTGAACCGGGAATCAAGCAACTTAGAGTACGGGCGCCAAACATAGAGGTCCAAACGGCTAAACAGAAAATGGCGCAGTACGGGGGTTCCATAGATCCATCTGTGGTGCAGGACGTTCTGTCAAGTTGAAGTCCTTTCTAGTCAAAAGATAGGCATCAATCTTGAGAAGCAAACTGTTTAGCAACCGGTGTCTGATCAAGTTTTGAGGTTCAAGAGTCTCCATTTGCACATTTGCAGACTCAAGTGGAGAAGAACTCAGTTAAAGGAAAGGCATCCACCAGCAGTCTCCAAACCCACTCGAGCCTCGGCATGTGTACCTGGGAGGAAGCACGCTTTTGTCGCTGTCCAGCAGGAGGAGGAATTACTCGTGTTGGAACTCACTGCAAAAAATGAAAGAAAGAAGCACAGCCAGGCACGGCAAAACCCGTCAACTGATCAACGTTGAAATTGGGCTGAAAAAGCTGAAATATCAAAAGATTCAAACCACACATGTCACACGACCGTCAGTCAGAACGCCAAGGCGCATGTCAAGTTACCAAGTGCCGCCTGACGGTCATGCTTCGTAAGCTGTGTTCCTGGTCTTCGAAACGACGACTTTCGCGCCAACGTTAGAAACGGGGGCGAAGAAGGAAATCGTCGCAAGTCACTGGGTTTGCGACTGACTGGCTGAGCTGCTTTTGACGGTTTTACTGACCAACCAGCGCTTGCTCTAGGGCCTAGGGGTTTGGCTCCCTCTTCCAAGCAGAGCGATTCGGCTCTTCAACATGGCCGGCCATGTTGGAAGTCCTGCTTCCAGATGTCCGAAGACAAAGGTGCCCCTGGCGGGCAGAACTTGAATCTATCAGGGTGGATTGCTTGGCTTTATGCAGAATACAGTTGTTCCCCTGCCAGCTGAGGCATCCTCAGGGTTCTTCCCCAGCATATGCGTGTCCAATCAACAGTGCACCTAGATGGAGAAGGGGACACAGGCCTCTTCCTCAAATGTGACATTTAAGTTCCTTTTTCTGGACAAAAACAGCTAGGAAAGCCCGAATGTGAACTTTTACTGTTCAAAGATGTTCAACAATCAAGATACCACAACACACTTCTATTTGGAACCACCCCACGGGTGCGCAAATCCGCATAGCTATGCGAATGCAGATCTTGATGTCTCAATCACTGTATATACAGAATACTGTACTACAGCAGGAGTCTTGGGATGTATTGGGCAAGCAGCACCTTCCATGTGGGCCCAGCAAAGTTGCAAGGTGCAAGTCCAGAAAGCTGCATGTAATTTAAATGACCCAACTCTCACAAAGTTGGTCACTGCATCGTTTCTCTCATCTACATGGTATTTTTCTCGAGATCTGTGTCTCAAACTGCCCGGCCTGTCGAACGAATGCACCAGGGCCACTGGGCGTTCCTGCCACCGAGCGCGCTTTTGGGAAGGAAGGCATCAATCCTCCCAGTTCATCTGTCTGGCAGCTGGGTGATACTTTCCGAAACATCCGCAGGTGGCAAGGAAACAGAAACATCAGTATGAGGACTTGCTAAAGGTATACCATATGGTAAGTAAGGAATTGGTATGAGCACTTGCTACAAGTACAGTGATCAATGGCCCTCGGATAGTGGCTTTGGCCCAATTGCAAAACTGGGCCGCTGCTTCACTCTGTTTGAAGCGAATGTCCTTTTTCGTCAGCGGAGTCGGGCAAAACAAAGCCTCAAAAATGTGTTGTTGTTGTTGTTGTTGGTGGTGGTGGTGGTGGTGGTGGTGGTGGTGTGAAATACAGTCACCATCGTTGACCATTTCGTTCGACCACAACATGTCATGCATACAATCGGAAGGGAACATCGTTCGAGTCGCTTGCATGTGTGCTGCATCCATCCAGGGTGTTTTTGGCCGGTTTTTGAAGGGATGACACGCGCAAATCCGAAGTGTTGCATCCCAGCTTCCTCGAGAGCACAAATCGAGAAAGTGTACCAAGTTCGTCGAAGTCGAGCCTTTAAGGGTGCAGTCAGCCCAAGCTGTCGGCATCCTTTAGCTTACAGTGCGCGTTCGTAAGAACCCATTGAGTGCAGCCAACCCTAGTTGGGGGCCTCAAATCCGTTCGTCGTTGGCTCACTGGCTCAAGGCTCAAGTCCGTGCGAGAAAAACGCGCGCGGGCGCCGGGGCGGTGGGCGAATCGGACGATCGCGTCCGAGGGTTCGCGATAGGTTTGAGGTCTCATTCAAGTTTGTTCAAGGTTCACGTTCTTTTTGGGAACAGTTCACGAGAGTTTTAACTTTCATATGGTAGCGGAGCCCTGAAAAGGGCATCCGATCTAGTTCACAACAGTTGCATCTAGGACCACTTCACGTAGTTTCCAGTTTGATGGCCGATGCATCTGGAACTGAACGATCAGCTCGCCGAGAACGATCCAGAGACCGATCCCAGACTCGAGGAGAAGAAGCTCCAGAATCTCGGTTGGGGGATGAGGGAAGGCAATCTGATAGATTCCAACGACTGGAAGCCCAAGTCGAGCAGTTGACTCAGACTCTTTCAGCTTTAGGTCCAGTGTTGCAGCAAGTCCTTCATACACAACAAGCTCAGCAGTCGACTTTGAACATGCCTCAAAGGCCAGATCCACCTGCTGTAGCTCCTCCTTCACCTTTCAACCCAGGTTCTGTTCATCAAACGCCCGGGCAAGCAAGCGAATCGAACCCACTGCCCAGTCAGACCAACCATCCAAATGTGTTAGACCCGAATCGAATTGATGTGTCAGGAACTCAGCCGTCCGATCCATGGCAGGCAAATGATCCTTGGAGAAACTTCCATCAGTCTCCTGCCCAAGCCGCTGGGATTCCTGATCAACCATTCCCAACTAGCATGCCTCAGAGTCCAGAACGTCAGAACCCATTCAAGGCTGCTCAACCTAGTATGTATACCCAAATGCCATGTCCTCCCAAATCATGTCCGCCTGGCCTGAGCCAAATCCCAATGAGTCAAACAGGTTTGTTTCCAGGTATGCCATCGAATCCAGCATCAGTCGGACAACCGCCTATCCAGATCGATACACCTCACGGTTCGCATCGTGAAACGGGGGAAGACAATCCATTCAAGCGTTCGGAACGATGGATGCCGAACATGCCACTTCCGACTTTCCACGAATGGAAAACGAGGCCATTGGAGATCACTGGATTCCTTTCATGGTTGACTTCATTGGCCAGTTGGACAGGCCTAGGCTCGAATACGTATCCCGCAGAGATCATGATGTGTATCAAGGAAACTGAACCTTTGGGGTGGCATCGACTTTCGCCTAGTCAAGTGACTCGTTCAGTTCGACTGTTATCCATACTGAACCTGTTTCAGTAACCATGCAAGAGCGAGTCTAGTGATTCGTAACTATGAAGAGTCAAAAGGTTTTGTTCGATGCTGTGGATTCGCCCGTGAATTTTCGGTCAAAACCAGAACAGATCCTCTTCTTTCGTACACAACTAGCAAACAGCAGCATTTCGGCGCCGACTATTCCCGAAGTCATCCGGAAGATCCAGTCTGAATTGTTCCAGTACGAACGTGTCGCACAGCTGGTAGATCCGAGTGTCAACATCAAAGGTCTAGAGTTCGTCGAAGCCGACAAGGTCCTTGTTTTGTTGAGAGCTCTTCCACAGCCGTGTCGACAGTGGATTGTGTTGAATTCGCCGGATGAATCATTCATCTCGTATGTTGAAAGTGCCCTACAATATGAAGCACAACAACGTATTTGGTCCGATGTTGGAGGTAAGCCAATTGCTGCACTTCAGAACACATCAGGAAAAGGAGACAAAGGCAAAAAGGGCGATGGAAAGGGCAAAAGAATCAAGGGAGGTAAAGACAAAGGAAAGGAAGGTAAGGGTGTTGACCCTAGAGGTAAAGGAAAAGGAACTTCCGAAGAGACTCGAACTTGCTTCACATGTAATCAACGAGGCCACCTTTCGTCTGATTGTCCACATCGTGCCAAAGGAGACAAGCAAGGAAAGGGTTCCAAAGGAAGCAAAGGCACAGAGAAAGGAAGTAAAGGAGAGAAAGGTAAGAAAGGAGATTCGAAAGGTGGCAAACCAAATGGAAAGAGAGCAACTGAGTTTTCTTCGTTCCAACCCGAATCCGAAGCCGGTAGTGAGTGGTCCGAACCAGACATCGAAGACGGAGGTCGATTGTCGGTCTTGGTTGATCCTTGCGAACCGTTTTTCATTTGCCAAAGCCAAGACATGCGTGATCCACACCTGTGGTTGGTGGATTCAGGTGCAAGCAAAACTGTGATTTCGATCGAATCGCTGTCGGCCTATCGTGTACTTCGTGAACGAACCCTCACTTCACCAATCCAGTTCAGAACGGCTTCAGGAGAACAAGTTCAAATCGCACATGAATGCATGTTGGAAGTGTATTTTCCAACCATCATCGAACATGATGATCACGACAAGACGAAACTTGTTCGCTATGAGATTCGTGCAGTGGTGGGACCGGTTGAACACAATTTGTTGAGCGTTTCAGGACTCACCAGAATGGGGGCCACCTTTGAGTTTGGACCTGAAGGTTGCCATGTCAGGGTGGGGGATATCCGAAGGATGGAGTGTGAGATTTGGGCGAACGTGCCTTGGTTGAGAGCCCACCGTCGTAAGACTCGAAGCAAGGACCAAGATGTCCACATGGGTCACGCCCTCGAAGCATGGTCCGAGCACTCATCCGATGCCTCACCAAAGAGTTCCTGTTCAGGCAAGTCCTCAAAAAGCTTCGGAACGTTCGATCTTAATGTCTCCCGAAACGTCCGTTCGAAGTCCTTCGAAAGGTAATCATGTGAAAGTGTTGAAATTCGATGACATCCCTGAAGTGCAAGTCTTTGAAGTTGCAGGTAAGAAACATGAGCCCAATCGCAAGTTGACATGTCCCACCAAGTCATCGGTTCTCCATGTGCTTGACCAGCCACTGCCGAAACAAGGTGAAATAGACATTGAAATCGACGAGAAGTCAGAGCCTTGTGCAACTTCAGATGCATCATTCCCTGGCTTTTCACAGAAGATTGAGAAGGAACTTTCAATACACCGTAGGAGAGGACACATCCCATATGATCGACGTTGCACTCATTGTTTGAGAAGTCGTTCAACTATTCACCATGCACGAATCAAAGAGTCGAACTCGCCAGTCGATCATAAGCTGATGTTAGTGCAGGCAGATTTCTTTTTCATCGATAGGCACAAGTTTATGTTACTTGCCAAAGGGAGTTCGGGGCTGATTGGGGTAGCTTCATGTGGATTGAACACTGATGCCACACTAGCTGACTGCCGGAAGTTCTTCGCCCAATTGGGAATCGCCGAAACGAGTTCGATGTCGGTCGAGATCCTCACGGATTCCGAAGTTGCATCAGGAAATGTTCTCAAGAAGCTCGGCCTTCCATTGATCATCAAAGCGGCCGCACCTCAAAGTCACCAAACGGTGGGCCTTGCCGAGCGTAACGTGCGACGGATGAAGGAAATGGTGTCTTGTTTGAGGAGTGACCTAAGGGTTCACGGTTTTGACATCACCGAAACTGAGGACAGTTACCACCGCATGTTATGTTACATCTGTCAAACGCACAACCACTTTGGGGTTGGCAGTGCGAGCGGAAGCTCCTCGGGACTTGAAAATCGTCGAACACCAGTCGAGTTGTTGCTTCAGAAAGATCGACCTAAACCAGTCACGAGCATGTTTGGAAGCATTTGTATGGCCAAAGTTCCGGAGTCGCTCATTGATCAGATCCCCGAGAAAAGTCGATTCGTTCCTGCTGCATACATGTACATCAAACCCAACAGTTTGGCACATGTTGTGACCACGCAGATCTCAGGGTAAGAACACACGTTCCAGGCAGAGGTGAAGCCGCTCGACCGTTTGATGTGGGACGTCAGTATGCGTCCATCGGTTCTCAAGGAAATCCCGAAGACTTCACGCGCAGAGTTGCCTTCGAGCGAATCCATGAGGCCACCAAGGCCATTGGATGATCAGGTCGGGGCCGGTGAAGCACTTCCGTCGACCGGTCCACCCCGTCCCTGGATTCAACAGTACGGTCCAACACCCGATTGCACAGCTTGCAACGCATCCAGTAGACATGGTCGTAAACACTCTGCTGCTTGCTGTAGACGTTACAGGGACTGGGTAGAGTCAGAGCGTCGTCGGTTGAGTGGGTCATCCAAAGGTCAAGAAGATCCATCATCAGGTCATCAGGCAGGTTCAGATGTTCTTCCAAAGCCGGATCATCCCACCGGGCACATTCGATATTCCGAGAAGAAGCCTCCCGTCTCAGGTGACAGGGAACCCGCTCCTGAGATGTCTGATGGTCGGCTTCCGGACGCGCCGAATGCTGATGTTCGTTGGGATCCTCCCTCCATGGAAGTAGACCCTGAATATGAACCCTCAATCCCTGATGAATTGCCCGATGTTGCAATGAATGATGGAATGGACGGTGACCCAAGTCGGACGCCGATGGACATCAGCCAGTTCCTGCGTCTTTTGTCACCACCTCCGGAAGAGTTGATCCGAGAGAGCTCAAGCCAAGGGATATTCTGTACAAATCGAGAAAGTGTACCAAGTTCGTCGAAGCCGAGCCTTGCCATGACGAACTCAACAATCGCCAGAGCTGTGATTTAAGGGTGCAGTCAGCCCAAGCTGTCGGCATCCTTTAGCTTACAGTGCGCGTTCGTAAGAACCCATTGAGTGCAGCCAACCCTAGTTGGGGGCCTCAAATCCGTTCGTCATTGGCTCACTGGCTCAAGGCTCAAGTCCGTGCGAGAAAAACGCGCGCGGGCGCCGGGGCGGTGGGCGAATCGGACGATCGCGTCCGAGGGTTCGCGATAGGTTTGAGGTCTCATTCAATTTTGTTCAAGGTTCACGTTCTTTTTGGGAACAGTTCACGAGAGTTTTAACTTTCATAGGTGGTGGTGGTGGTGGTGGTGGTGGTGGTGGTGGTTGGTGGTTGGTGGTTGGTGGTTGGTGGTTGGTGGTTGGTG